GTTCCCCACATGCTTCGTGGGGTTCTGGTTTTCTTCCCTGCCGCGCCGCACCCGCGTCTCCTCACACCTCCCCTCCTCTCTCTTTCTTCCTCCCCTCACTCACACACACACACACACACTTCACTCTTCCCCCCCTCGTCACAGCACTGCTCAGCTCAGCTCAACTCACCTCAGCACAGCACAGCACAGCTCAGCTCAGCTCAGCTCAGCACAGCACAGCTCGGCTCAGCTCAGCACAACTCAGCACAGCCCAGCACGGCTCAGCTCAGCACAGCACAGCACAGGCACAGCTCGTGGCACTTTCTCGACACCACAGGGGGTGCGCAGGGGTTGGTCTCTCAGCTATCCACGACATTGGCGCAAAGCCTAGCAGGCGTGGCACTCTCTCGACACCAAAGGGGGTGGGCAGGGGGTGGTCTCTCAGCTCGGCCGCTATCCACGACACTGGCGCAAAACCTAGCAGGCGTGGCACTTTCTCGACACCACACGGGGTGCGCCGGGGGTGGTCTCTCAGCTCGGCCGCTATCCACGACACTGGCGCAAAGCCTAGCAGGCGTGGTACTTTCTCGACACCACAGGGGGTGGGCAGGGGGTGGTCTCTCAGCTCGGCCGCTATCCACGACACTGGCGCAAAGGCTAGCAGGCGTGGCACTTTCTCGACACCACAGGGGGTGCGGAGGGGGTGGTCTCTCAGCTCGGCCGCTATCCACGACACTGGCGCAAAGCCTAGCAGGCGTGGCACTTTCTCGACACCAAAGGGGGTGAGCAGGGGGTGGTCTCTCAGCTCGGTCGCTATCCACGACACTGTCGCAAAGCCTAGTAGAACTTTCTCGACACCACAGGGGGTGCGCAAGGGGTGGTCTCTCAGTTCGGCCGCTATCCACGACACTGGCGCAAAGCCTAGCCGGCGTGGCACTTTCTCGACACCAAAAGGGGTGGGCAGGGGGTGGTCTCTCAGCTCGGCCGTTATCCACGACACTGGCGCAAAGCCTAGCAGGCGTGGCACTCTCTCGACACCACACGGGGTGCGCAGGGGGTGGTCTCTCAGCTCGGCCGCTATCCACGACACTGGCGCAAAGGCTAACAGGCGTGGCACTTTCGCGACACCACAGGGGGTGCGCAGGGGGTGGTCTCTCAGCTCGGCCGCTATCCACGACACTGGCGCAAAGCCTAGCAGGCGTGGCACTGTCTCGACACCACACGGGGTGCGCAGGGGGTGTTCTCTCAGCTCGGCCGCTATCCACGACACTGGCGCAAACCTAGCAAGCGTGGCACTTTCTCGACACCACAGGGGGTGCGCAGGGGGTGGTCTCTCAGCGCGGTCGCTATCCACGACATTGTCGCAAAGCCTAGCAGGCGTGGCACTTTCTCGACACCACAGGGGGTGCGCAGGGGGTGGTCTCTCAGCTCGGTCGCTATCCACGACACTGTCGCAAAGCCTAGTAGGCGTGGCACTTTCTCGACACCACAGGGGGTGCGCAGGAGGTGGTCTCTCAGTTCGGCCGCTATCCACGACACTGGCGCAAAGCCTAGCAGGCGTGGCACTTTCTCGACACCAAAGGGGGTGGGCAGGTGGTAGTCTCTCAGCTCGGCCGCTATCCACGACACTGGCGCAACGCTTTGCAGCCGTGGCACTTTCTCGACACCACAGGGGGTGGGCAGGGGGTGGTCTCTCAGCTCGGCCGCTATCCACGACACTGGCGCAAAGGCTATCCACGACACTGGCGCAAAGGCCGCTATCCACGACACTGGCGCAAACGCTATCCACGACACTGGAACATTCGCGACGAGGGCTCAGAACGCAGGATTGTGCATATATATATATATATATATATATGTATATATTATATACATAAGCAAACACATAAGATTTAAATTAAGTATGTGGGGTTCCTCGGTAGCGTAATTTTTGTTTCAGGTCTTCGAATGGGGGTACGGCGCTCGCAGCTTCTGCGGGCCTGCGCCCGCCGGGCCTGGCCAGGGGTCGTTTTCGTGAAGTGACTTGGCAGCTTGCTTTAAGAAGGTGTTCTGCCCACTCCACCTCCTCCTCCTCCTCCTCCTCCACCTCCCTCCTCCTCCTCCTCCCTACCACGTCACCCCGGAGAGGAGGAACCCATCCTGGTATACCGCTGCTCTTCCTGGGGAGCCCTCGTCACCGCGGTTGGAGTCTGTTCGAAACACGAGAGGTCCTTGGGAGCAGCGGGATCGGTATTTTCCTTCTAGGCTGTGCTTCCGGCACTCGGCACCCTTCCGCCTGTCGGATCTGTGTACTACCCCGCAGCCTTGTGCTTCCCACGTTTCCTTCCGCGTTGTCTGCGGAGCCCCTTGTGCGGATGACTATTTCAATCCCCGCTGTGCGTGGTCAGTTATGGTGTCCTGAGCTGCCTTCAATACGCACGTGTTGAAACTCAACACGTGCCGTTCAATACGTCTCACGCACGTGCTGACCCACGTTTTGGCGAACGTATCGCGCCAGACCTATGTTCTCAATCTACGTGAGGAGCTCCGAGTCAAGACACGACGGGTTGCTTGTTGCGTATCTGGGCAGCTACGTTGGTGCCTCACCACTCGGCGCTTTCTCCCCCTGGCGCCTGGCGACAACTGGGCGTACGACTGACTCCCAAGCTGCCCCCCCGGGGCCGCTGCTGCAGCGCACGGGGAAATCCATGGAAATCCTTAAGGCTAGCCCCTTCACCAGCGTGTTCTGGGTACGGCACCGTCGGTTGGCTGGGCCCGCCTCGCAGCTCGTTGCGCTCCGCTGGCGTTCTTAGCTCAGGCCTGTTGCTCGCGCCATGGTCGCTCCGCCTCGCCTCTCTGGCAACGCCTGGCTCGGGCGAGCTCCAACTCGGGGCTCGCCCTCGCTCCCCCGCGCGTCGATGGTGCACTTCTTGCCTCGCGAGCCGCGGCCGCATCGCCCCTCAAGCGCTGCGATCCGCCTGGCCTCTGCTTCCCGCGACCAGAGCATCCGAGAAGGCGCTGGGCTCGGCTCGGGCGTGCTCCCCAAGTCTCAGGGACCTGCTCGCCGCCATCTGTGTTGGCCAGTGCTTCTGTACCGCCCGACTGGCGTTCCATCTGGGCGCTAAAGTGCATGTGCGTGTGTGTGTGTGTGTGTGTGTGTGTGTGTGTGTGTGTGTGTGCGTGTACTCGCCCGCCCTGTAGGTACTGGCCGTCCGTTCCTCATCGTCGTTCCCCCGCGTCTTTCCCCCCACGCTCCCTGCCCGGGTTTGCGTATGACACGGTCTGTCCCCTTTGGACGTGAATCAAATGAGAATGAGACGAGACGGTGTTCTCTTTCTGCCGTTGCTGTCCGGAGGCCGGGCCAGGGCGTACAGGTGAGCGCCCAGTCTGCAGCGATTGCACCCTAGGAACAAAAATCCGCCCCCTTTGGGCGGATTTTTGTTCTTGGCTTCTGAGGGGGACGGCAGCGCGCTCTCTTCCTCTCGCTCCGACTTTCTACGCCTCGACGCTTCGCGCGAGGCCGCGACGCCCGAATATTGTGTGTGTGTGTGTGTGTGTGTGTGTGTGTGTGTGTGTGTGTGTGTGTGTGTGTGTGTGTGTGTACGTGTTTGCTTGTTTGTGTGTGTGTGTATGCATGCATGCATGCATGTATGATTATCTTTGGATGCAGTTTTCCTCCGCGTCGAGCGGCCAAGCGAGAGGGGCTTCACCCCTTCCGTCTTCCCTCCTGCTCTGCTCTCCTGCTGCTGCTCTCCCCTCTCGCGGCCATTCTGGTTTCAAGGCTTGCATGGGCCTGCGCCGCGCCGGATGCCCCTTCCCCTCGCGGCCCTCGGTCAGTGGAGCGCGGCGCTGGTTTCAGTCTGGGCCAGCCGCTGCCCCGCCTGCCCGGCCTGCCCGCCCTGTGGGTCGGTCAACGTCACCTGCGGCAACTGCCCGGCGGCGCCTGCGGTGGCGTGCCCAGCAGTGCCCTACCCTCGGCCCTGCCCCGAGCTGTCCTGCCCGGCCCCCGCTCCGGCCGCGCTGGACTGGGCCTCGTGGCTGGGGCTGGGTTGGGTCCTGGGCGTGCTGTGCGCCGTGGCGGCGCTGGCGGTCTGCGCGCCCGTCGCAGCCCTACTGCACGGGTTCACCGCGCGGGCGCCGACGCGCCCAGCAGGCGACGGCGGAGCGGGCTCCGCGACCTGGCCTAGGGCCATCCGTGGCTGATGGCTCGGGCGGTGCCCGAGACCCTGGACATCGTCGAGAGCCAGGTCAGCATCGTCTTCGACGACGACCCGAACTTCAGGCGGCACCACCGGGTGCTACTGGTCCCCTCGCCCACGCATGGGCACTGGGTGGCCGCGACGCCCGACTCCGAGATCTACCTCTTGAAGCTGGACGAGTACCTAGTGGGCGCCCTTCCACGGGCGGCCGCTTTCCCGCAGAGGGTCCGAGGCCAGGTCTACGCGTTCGGGGCCCTCTCGGACGCCGACCTGGCCAACCTCCGCCGCGACGGGCGCAACTTCGCGAAGGTGCTGGGCTTTCCCCTCCCCGTGGTGCAGGCGGGTTTCGACGTCCCGAGGTGGATCGTCTCCGACCCCGCGAGCGACCGCTTCGGGGAGGAAGGGGGCCTGGAGCTGATCACCTCGGCCGAGCGCTTCATCGGCCGGGACGCCGTGGTGCTCGTGATGCTGTCCGACGCCGAGGGCGGGGTCGCCGCCGAGAACGTCCAGCTCAGCGACGAGGCAGACTGGAAGGCGGAGAAGAGGGCCGGTCCTGGCAGGGACCGCCGCGGGCTGCCACAGACGGGCGTGTCCGCTCGGACCGTCTCTCTAGCGCAGCTGGTGGCTCTGCTGAAGAGCGTGGACGTGGAGGACTGGCCCTTCGAGCTGCCCAAGGCCCTGGTCGGGTTTTTAGCCGCGGTGGTCTCGTCTGGGCACTCGCTCGCGTCCTACTGGGGCTTCTGGGTGGCCCAGTCGGGGGTCTCGCGCGCCAGCGCCGTCGCCCAGGAGCTGAAGAACATCGAGGAGGTCTTGCACCATGCGCTGGTCTTCGACGCGCTGGAGGTCTCGACCCTCGCCTCGTTCGAGCTCCTGAGTCGCCGGTGCCTTCAGATCCAGGGGGCGGTCAAGCGCTGCCCGCGCCACCCGTCCTTCGAGGGCCTGGAGTTGATAGTGTCGAGCCGCCTCGACCACTCGGACGGCGCCGTCACGACCAAGTTCGACGCGAGGGTCGCCGACCAGCAGAAGGCGAGCAGCGCCATCCTCGAGCAGGAGAGGGTGTACAGGGAGGAGGCCGACCACGAGGACAAAAAGTACCGCCACGAGGAGAGGGGCGAGGCCAGGCCCCCCCGCCCCAAGGCCAAGCCGAAGGGCACGGCCAGGGCTGGGCCGGCCGGCGCTGGATAGCAAGCCGGGGGCCTCCGCGCCCCCCTCGGCCGCGGCTTCATCTGCCGCGGCCGTCGGCGCACCACGACGCCATGGCCACCACCTTGGACCGCGGCTGCCTCCCCGTCGAGGGTTCCTCCTCGCGGGGGCCCCCACCTTTGTTCCCGCTTCCGGTCACGGAGGCCTTCTACTCGCGTCCGCCGCGAGGGGAACGTACCGCTTTGCCTCGGTATAAGGCGCAGCGTGCTGCCGCTGCTGATCGTCTCTCGGCCCGTGCCATCGAGGCGATCACGGCCCTCAATGGGATGGCTGCCGCCTGTGCTGGGAGGGAGGTCGTGCTTCGGCCCCCTCAGGGGACTGGGGGCGCCGACATCGCCCAAGAGTCGGCGCTCAGGCGCGTCCGCCGTCGGATCGCGGCCTTTGGTGATCGGCCCGCCGACTTGGATGGTGCTGGAGCCCTTCAGGAGCTCCTCAGGACCAGGGACGTCTACGGCGGCCTCGACGCTTCCACGACTGCGGTTGATTTTGACTCGAGCCGCCTCAACATCTTGCGCAAGGAGCATTTTTCAACGCCACTCGACGATGTGGCCCCTCAGTGCGTCAGGGATGTGCTGGACAATTTTGACACGACTGTCGTCCGCCCGCTCTCTGAGTTGCCAGAGGACGAGCCGCTGGTGCAGCCGTGCTGGGACCCGCAGCTCGACCCGCGCCGGCGCGGCGCGCGCCCGGCGCTCGTGGCCTTTCTTCGCGCGCTGGCTCTCCGGGGGCTCGTCGGAGCTCGGGCCCGTCGGAAGGCGTGCATCTCCGCGTTCTTCGTGCGAAAGAAGAACGGTGATCAGAGGATGGTGCTGGATGCCCGGCAGGCCAACGAGTTGCAGCGCCTCCCGCCCAAGACCGCGCTGGCCTCGGGGGAGGCGCTCGCGGCGATCAACCTCGTGGACGCCACCGACCTCGGCCCCGACGACCTGGACATCGTGACGACCGGGGGCGACCTGGTGGCCGGCTCGGTGGACCTGCAGGACGGCTTCTACCAGTTCCGCCACCCGGCCTGGGGCTCCTGGATGTGCTTCGACATCGAGATGGACGCCGGCGAGCTGTGGGTGACCCAGCTCTACGACGAGGAGCTCGGCCGCTACATCGACATCGGCCCAGACTCCCGAGTCTGGCCCCGTTTTGAGGCCCTTCCCATGGGATGGTCACGGGCCTTGTGGATTTGCCAAGAGGTCCTGGTCGACACCATGGGTGCCGTCTTCGGGGACAAGGACTCCTGGTGCCTGGACAAGGGCAAGCCGCCCTCCTTGCTGAACGGGGGGGTTGCCCATGCGCCCTACGTCGATAACGCGAACCTCATCTCCTTGGACGCCGGCAAGCTCGACCAGCGCCTCGGCGCCGTGACGGGTGAGCTGGACAATAGGGGGCTCCGCTGGCACGAGTTGCAGCACGCCGCCTCGTCGCAGGGCATCCTCGGTCTCGAGTTCGATGGCCGGCGCGGCCGCCTTCGCCACACATCGCGGCGAGCCTGGCGCCTGCACCTTGGCCTACACGAGGTTCTACGCAGGCCAAGGCTTGATCGCTGGCAGATCAGGAGGTTGCTGGGGCACATCGTGCGCTACTTCAGCATCATGCGGCCCGCCCTCAGCGTGCTGGGCGAGTGCTATGCCTACCTTGAGTCGGGCCCTATGGAGGGCGTCTCCCGCTTGCCGTCCAGCGTGCTGACGGAGCTGCGCTGTGCTGCTGGCCTCGTGTTCCTCGGCTAGGTAGACCTGCGCCGACCTCCTGCGCCAGTGTCCTTCACCACGGACAGCTCGATGCTGGGGTGCGCCGTCTGCGAGGCCGAGCTCTTCGGACACGAGGTCCTCGGCGTGTCGCGGTGGTGCGAGAGGCAGCGCTTCAGCGAGGTCGAGGTCTCCGGCGACCCCGACAGGGGCGCCTACCTGGGCCGCGCCGCGGGGCTGGCCGACGTCTCCGACCTGCACTACGACGAGCTCGGCACCGCCGACGCGGGACGTCCCCGCCGGCAGGCGCGGGCCCGCCGCCGTCGCCAGGAGATGGAGGTGGGCCGCCCCCCGCCTGCGCTGCCGCCTGAGCTTGTCGACCCGCAGCGGTGGGCCGAGGCCTTCCGAGGCGCGTGGCGCCACCCTGGCCGCATCCACAGCCTGGAGGCTCGCGCCTCGGTGATCGGGCTGGGCGCGGCCGCGCGCCAGGCCAACTGCCACGGGACCGAGCTGCTGAGCCTCTCGGACAACCTCTCCAGCGCGCTGTCGTTCGAGAAGGGCCGTGCCAGTAATCGGGAGCTCCTCGCCCAATGTCGTCGGGCCGGAGCCTTGCAGCTGGGCGCCGAGATCATGTGGCGGGTGCGACACGTTCCAGGATGTGTGAACGTTGCTGACTGGGGGGGCCGGGCCGCAGATCGCCGCGTGCACCTGCCTGGCTGGATCCGCGGGGTCGGCTTCAGGGCCTGCTCGCCGGCGCCCGGCAGGTGCGCTCCTGCGGCGAGGCCCGGCGGCAGCCCGCCAGGTCCCGGGCCTGAGGAGCCTGGGCCCCCCCATCACCAGCGTTGCCTTCGCGACTCGGCCGTCCTCGAGCCGCGTCTCCGAGCCTCCAGGGCTTGGGGGGGAAACCTATTGTTTGCACGGGACAGTGGAGCGAGGACCTCGCACAAGGGATCATCCCCTCTACCGTCCCAGCCCAGCTGAGTCCTGTCCTTCCCCTCCTCCATCATGCTCCACTTCATCGAGACCGCGTACAGGTTATTGTTCACAGATTGGGTCGTCGAGCTCTTCGTCGGGTCGCTGGCCTCATATTGGGTCTCCAATTGCATCGGCTCATCAGCGACCCCAGGCTGGGCCCCCAGCTTCTTCGGCTTCTTGGGCGTCACGGATCAGGCCACCAACATCATCATCGAGTCAAGGTCCCCAGGCTGGGTCATCAAGCTCTTCGGCTCCTCCTCGGGCGCGCAGCGGGCCTCGTAAGTGGTGCTCCTCGGGGTCTTCGTCTACGGCCCCGCGGGGCCAGCTGTCTGGCCGTGCCAGCTTCCTGGAGCTATTTGCTGGAGGTGCAAACCTATCTGGGGCCTTCCACGAGGCCGGTCTCCGCATTGCCTGCCCTCTGGACATCGCAAACGGCAAGCATCATGACCTCACGCATCCTGGAGTCCGTAACGCTGTCTTGGCTTGGATCGCTCAGCGCCGCTTTTGGTGCATACATATTGGGCTTCCGTGTGCCCACTGGGTGCCGGCTGGGGGCAACCGGCCTCCATGCCCGGCAGACCTCGCTCTCGTCAGTTTCGCCGTGCGGGTGCTCAAGCTCTGCCAGGAGCTCAACATCTTCGTTCTCCTCGAGAACCCTGGCCCCAGCCGGGTCTGGCGCTGGGCGCCCCTGGAGAGGGAGCTCCGCTACCGCAGGCCCGGCAGGGTCGCGTGCGACTCCTGCCGCTTCGGGGCGCCCTTCAAGAAGCCAGGAGCGGTCGCCTGCACTTTGCCGAACCTGGAGCTGCTGGGCCGCCGGTGCCGGTGCTGCCAGCCGCGTCGTGAAGTTCTTCAGGGCAAGGTTCGCCATCCGACGAGAGGGTGGGTTTGGCGGACTACCTTGGCGGGTGCGTACCTCCCAGAGTGGTGCCGAGAGCTCGCGCGCATCGCCTCGCTCTCCGCCCCGAGGTCCGCCTGTGGCCGAGCCGCGCCCAGAGACCTCGCGACTTGGGATGGCGTCCTGGCAGCCGCGTCGGGCGAGGTCCGCCTCCGCGCCCCCGGCCTCCCGCTCTGCCCGCGGAGGTTCATGCTCCCTTGGCGAGCCGCCTGGGCCTCCGCGCTCGACCCGCGCCCCCGCCCCCGGGGCGGCGGGCGGGCCTCGCAGCGCCGCCCCGCCCCCAGGCGGAGGCCAAGCGCGGGGCCGTCGGGCGCTGGCGGCAGAGCGCCGAAGGCGGGCGGCAGCGGCAGTGGATCGCGCCGAGCAACAGCGGCAAGCTCGCCGAGTGCCTCCTGGTGATTTCCTGCGCGCGGCTTCGTTGCGGCCAGCGACCCTGACAAAGTATCAGCAGGCGGTCGCCGACTTCGAGGCCCGGGCTCGTCGCTAGCGTTTTCTCTTTGACCACCCAAAGAACGCCGACACGTCAATGAACTTGTACATTGAGCACCTTTTCTTTTCGGGATCTCCTCAGTACATGGCTCGCAATGCACTTTACGGTCTTGCTCGACTCCGAGGATGGGCTGTGGCCAAGCCTCACTTTGTGCGATCCAAAGATGCCCTGGCGGGCTGGTCTGCCAAGCTACCTCGGCATCCCAGGATGCCAGCCCCCTTCGACGCAGTGGTTGCCTGCATGGGGGCCCTCTCGGAGCGCTCCACGTTGGGGGCCCTCGCCGCCGTGGCCATGATAGTCCAGTTCGACCGGTGCCTGCGGCCAAGCGAGGTGCTCGCCATCACCGCAGGCCACGTCCACGGCAGCGCGGGGGGCCAGGTCTCCGTCATCATCGCGCCTCTCACAGGCGGGGTGCCGTCCAGACGAATGAGTTTGACCGCGCTGTCGTTGCTGGCGCGCCTGTCCCCCTCAGACGCCAGGTGCCGGCCGCGCTGCTCGCTCCCGCAGAGGCCGAGCAGACGCGGCAAAGCTTTTTGCTCCTCTGAATCTCAGTGCATACGAGAGGCTTGTGCAGAGCGTAGCCTCCGACCTAAGTCTGTGCCACCTCTTCTCCGTGCCTCATCAGCTTCGGCACGGTGGCCCCTCACATGACGCTCTGGAGCAATTGCGCAGCCTTGATCAGATCCAACAACGGGGGGGATGGCGCGCGCGAGAGTCCGTGCGCATCTATGAGAAGCACGGCGCACTCTTGCGCCAACGTGCCGCCGTGCCTGCGCCGTCCGTCAACGGGCCGCCCATTTCTCGGCGGCGGATCTTCGTCTCCTCGTTTCTCGCGTTGCCAGCTCGAATCGGGTGCCAAGCTAATCTTCTCTTTGTCTTTTCTTCCCAACCCGCCCACCCAATGACAACTGAATTGGGGGTGGGAGCCAATGCTGCGCAGTCTGATTTGGTAATTTGATCGGGGCCCGGGTCCTTTTCCCACTACTGCCAAGCAAGCTCAGCACTATATAATCTCAAGTGCGCCTCGTCCTGAGTAAGGACGCGTCCTCGTGAACAAAAAGTGGATCGTCCGTCTCATGTATGTGCGAATGGTGGCCGCGCCTAGCCTGAGGAATGACTATATTTGGATGCAGTTTTCCTCCGCGTCGAGCGGCCAAGCGAGAGGGGCTTCACCCCTTCCGTCTTCCCTCCTGCTCTGCTCTCCTGCTGCTGCTCTCCCCTCTCGCGGCCATTCTGGTTTCAAGGCTTCCCTCCCTACCCACCCTGGGGAGCCAATGCTGCGCAGTGTGATTTGGTGATTTGATCCGGGCCCGGGTCCTTTTCCCACTATTGCCAAGCAAGCTCAGCATTATATAATCTCAAGTGCACCTCGTCCTGAGCAAGGACGCGTCCTCGTGAAAAAAAGTGGATCGCCCGTCTCATGTATGTGCGAATGGTGGCCGCGCCTAGCTCGAGGAATGAATGTATGTATGTATGTATGCAGATATGTATGCATGCATGTATGCATGTACGTATTCATGCATGCACGCATGCATGCATGCATGCATGTATGTTTGTATGTATGCATGCATGCATGCATGCATACATGTATGTACATTTGTATGTATGTACCCATGTACATATGTATGTATATATGTATGTATGTATGCATGCATATATATATATATATGCATGCATGTATGTGTGTATGTATGTACGCATGTATGTGTGTAATCATACATGTATGTATGCATGTATGCACATGTGTCTATATGTGTACATGCATGTATGTATGTATGTATTTATGTGTGTATGCATGTATGTATGTATGTATTTATGTGTGCATGTATGCATGTATGCATTTATGTGTGCATGTATGTATATACGTATGTACGTATACATGTATGTATATATGTTCGTTTGTTTGTATGCAAGCATGCATGCATGCATGCATGTATGTATGTATGTATGTATGAAATAATGAAAGCGTGCATGCGTGTATGTAGGTACGTATGTATGTATGGTTGTATGCATGGATGTATGTTTGTGTCTATGTATGTGTGTGTGTGTGTGTGTGTGTGTTCGCGCGCGTGCGCGCGCGTGTATGCGTGCGCGTGTATGTGTGTGTGTGTGTGTGTGGGTGTGTGCGTGTGTGTGTGTAATATATATATATATATATATATATATATATATATATATATATATATGTGTGTGTGTGTGTGTGTGTGTGTCAGTGTCTGTGCGCCTGCCGCATGTTGCCCCTGGAGCATGGGTCCGAGAAGCACTCGGACACCGACGTCCTGCGCCATTGCAGGTTTGCACGGATCCGTGCCCACTGCCACCTAGTGTATGGCTCCACTCGGAGCCCGTGTCGCAGCACCAGTGCTCGGACGAGTTCACCCCGCCCTGTGTGTGCCCTCTCCGCAGCCCTCTCTCCTCCGCGGCGTCCCGACCTCTCGCTTCCGCCTCGGTGCCCAGTTGCTGTTTGACAGCCCCGCCCACTTACCCGTCGGTCGTTGAAAGTAGGTAATCTTGGATTTCCAGGCCCCAATCTACTTCTAGCGCCTTTCTACTGGAAGCATCGACATGGCCTTGATGTTTCTTTGTTATTCCCTAGGCTGGCCTTCATGTTTTTTTGCCAACTTCCTCCGACCGACGTGTACTTGCATCTGTGCGGGCGCCCGTTCCGTGACAGAATCGTTGAGTCGTTTGTGTGCCTGCCTGCGTGCGGGCCGCGCAGGGCCCCGACGAGGGCGGGCAGATCGTCTTCCAGCGGTCGCCCGACGGCACCCCGCCGGAGGGCTGCATCGGGCCGCAGGAGGCCGCGCGGCGCCGCGGCCTCTCCCCCCCTCCATTCCGCCCCCTCTCGCTGTGGAAGAATTTTGGCGGGAGGCTGGTGGCAGTTTTCGGCATGCCCGACGACCCTCGCCTGGCCCCGGGACCGAACGAGGTCCAGACCTTTGGGGGCCCACGGGGTGAGAACATCACGACGTCGAAGTTCTGAGCCTCTGTCGGGCGGTTCCCTCGCGGCGGAGGCGGCGGGGGTGTCCCGGGCGGCGTCGAGGGCGAGATGTCTTGGGCTTATATTTCGAAGACGACGACAAAGGCGCAGACGAAGATCAAGTCGTCTTCGTCTTCGTCTTCGTATTTTCTTCGTCTTCGTCTTCGTCGTCGTCTGCGCCTTCGTCTGAGCCTTCGGCCACCACCACAGGCGGCCGGCCCATGTCGGCGGCTTGCCAGGCCGATCGGGGCCCTGCACTGCAGAGCGCTGCCAGTGGGTCGGCCGCCCCCGGGTGCCTGGCGGTGCGGCGGTGTGTGGTGGGGAAGCGGGCCCACCACGGGGCAACAGCCCGAAGGGGCGGATGACGAGGCCTGCTCCTCCTCCTGCTCCTCCTCCTCCTGCTCCTCCTCCTCCTTCTCCTCCTTCTCATCCTTCCCCCCCCTGCTACCTTATATGATGTTCCAACCTACTTTAGCCTTGATCACCAGAAACAAATGCGAGCACCAAGAAAGTGTCGAAACTGGAGTGTTTTCACGTGTCGGGCTCTGGGAGGCGATACTCGTTCGACACTGTTTCGACACTTTCCGGGGAGCTCGAAATTCTTTTTGGAATTTGGTCCTCCAGTGCGACGGGGGCAGCATCACTCCTACCGCCTGCTCTGCCGAGGCGGGGGCGGGGGGGGCGGCTGGCAGCACGCTGGCCGTGGCGAGCGCCGCCGTCCGCACCCGTGGCCCCGCAGCCATGGCAACATCGCAGCAAATCGCGACCGGAGCCCCGGACCCCATCTTTCTGCTTCGTTTTTCGAGCTGGATCGATCTGTGAGGGCCCTGGAGCCTGGAACCGGGCGAATACGCCCGGTGAGAGGAGATTGCAACGCCAGGATCTCAGGGGAGGCGGGGTCGCTTGGCAGCACCGTCCGCACCCGCGGCCCCGCAGCGCACCGACCTCGCCCCGTCGGGCGGGGGCGCGCCCACGAGCCATGATGCGCACTCCACTTCTCCTGGCCACCCTCCTTCGACGCACCCGAAAGAGCGGGAGTTTCACGTATCATGACCGTGTCTTTTTCGCGGGAGAGGATGTGTTCTTTGTGATCAGGGCTGCCTCAGCTCAGCTCAGGAGCGATTGTGCTCCCAGAGTGGCCGTGCTCGCCGATGGTGGGTGCTGCAGCTGCGGCCACTGCGCTGTAGACCACATTTGTTCGAGACGTGGCCGCTTTGAAAACAAGTGGCGAGGTAGGAAGACCGCGACCGGGTCGTGGGAGCGTTGGTGGAGGAAGAAGAAGATGGCAACATGCATAGCGCGGCACGCGAGAGAAGTCTGAGACGGTCCGGGCGGCCCCCCGCCAACCCACGCCCAGGAGGGCCCCGAGAGGCGCCCTTGTAGCCCAAGAGGTTCTCAGAGGGGGCGAAAATGGCGGATGGCCTCCTGTGACCTTGTGGGGGGCGTTCGTGACATTCAAGAGGGCGCCTGGACGGCACAAAAAAGCCATCAGGATGACCCAAAAGGCTTCCAGTGTATCCCAAGGTAGCCAGAGAGGCCTCAATAGGCTCACGAGAGGCTCCAGAAGTCTCTGAGACACGCAAAGGTCATTCTTTTTTCCACCAGACAGGTGGGGCGTGCACGATTCACAGAAAAGCCCGCCCGCCAACCCCGCATACTGCGGCGGCCAGGCCCCAGAACTGCCAGCAGTCCCGAGTGTCCAGCCCGCCAGCCCTGCATACCGCGGCCGCCATGCCTCAGGACTCCTGAAGAGTCCCGAGCATCCCGCCCGCCAGCCCTGCACACTACCACGGGCCGACAACACCAACATGCATGAGCGACAACATCATCGACGTCACGGCGGCATGGCTCCACGGCGTCACGCCGTCCACAGACGTTTAGAGTAGACATCATACGCAGAAGCCAAGAACCTTTGTCAACCGCATACGGCAACAACAGGCATTCCATAGCCGTTTTGGCTCACGTCGTGCCTCCCTGGGCGCTACAGGCCGACGCTGAGCCGTCGGCTCACCCAGTGCTCACAAATCACAGATTTCAGCCGGCGTCACCCCAACCTACTGGTACAGTGTGTGCGTCTTCCCCCCCCCCAAAGGGCCCGACGAAACCGCCCGAAGTCCTCGAACACCTCTAACCCCAAGCCTCCTCGTCCTCGTCCTCGTCCTCAGGGTTGACGGCCGCGAACGGCCCCCGGGCCGGCAGGGAACAACCTCCCGAGACGGCGCATTGGACCCCACACGAAAAACAGAGAATGATGGCCCCCGGTGGGAGTGGAAGAAGCGGAGTCACAAACCCGATCGATACCCCAAACAACGACAAAAACACTGAAACCCACCCCAGAAAGCCTCCTAACGTGGCTCCTCAGACAGCGATCTGTACTCGCAGCGCTGCTCCTCGGGGAGGAGGCGGGCGGCGGAGCGCGGCGTCAGGCCTCGCTCGGCGACCCCAAGCTGGTCGGCGGCAGGGGCTGCGCCCTGCGGGTGGTGTTCTCCGGCGACGACGGCGGGCCCGCGTCGCGGGGGGCGGGGTGGCAGCAGCAGCTGCGAGGGGGAGGGGGTGGTCGAGCGCCGTCGACTTGTCGACCTCGCCGACTGGGAAAGCTCTGGGGCGCCACGGCTGGGCGCGGCTCTTTTGGAAGCTGGCCAGGGTGGACCCTGAGAGGGGTACAGGGACTGGTTCATGAAAGGGTTCTGCTCGGGGGAGATCGAGGGTAGTGGATCAGTGTCTTTGTGCGCTTTCTTTTTTTCGCTGCTGGGGGCCTCTGGGTGACTTCAGGGAGACCTCCGGAGACCTATTGGGGCTGTATCCCAGGAGTGCGCACACCCTCAGGGGAGGTCAGTGACTGGGGTGCGATGGCTAGGCCTTGCGCGCTCGCTCGCCTCCGTCTGAGCAGGCCTCGTGTGGCCGCTGCGGTGTGGGTGGGCCAAGCTTCCCTCTCGATCTCTGGGAGGTTGGTCTTGCCCGCCTTCCCAGAGGGCTCGGGCTTCGGAGCCAACTTTCGCAGAAGGCCACTTTCTTGGCGTCCACGGATCAGGAGGAGGATGAGAAGGAGGAGGAGGAGGAGGAGGAGGAGGAGGAGGAGGGGAAGGAGGAGGAGGAGGCGGATGAGGAGGAGGATGAGGAGGCGAGGCAGAGAAGGAAGAGGAGGAGGAGGAGCAGAGAGGAGGAGGAAGACGAGGAGGAGGAAGACGAGAGGATGAGGAGGAGGAGGGGAGGAGGGAGGAGAGGAAGAGGCGGAGGAGGAGAAGGTCGAGCTGGAAGAGGCGGGGAAGGGACGAAGGAGGGAGAAGGACGAAGGGAAGGGACGAGGAAGAAGGGAGGGAGGAGGAGAGGAGGGAGGAGGAGGAGGAGAGGAGGAGGAGGAGGAGAAGGAGGAGGAGGCGGAGGATGAGGATGAGAATGATGATGATGATGATGATGATGATGATGATGATGATGATATGATGATGAGATGATGATGATGATGATGATGATGATGTGATGATGATGATGATGATGATGATGATGATGATGATGATGGGAGGAGGAGGAGGAGGAGGAAGGAGGGAGGAGGAGGAGGAGGAGGAGGAGGAGGAGGAGGAGGGGGAGGACGAGAACGAGAACGATGACGAACACGAGGACAATGGCGCGAGGAGGAGGAGGAGGAGGAGGAGGAGGAGGAGGAGGAGGAGGAGGAGGAGGAGGAGCGGGAGGGTGATGAGCGCGCTGACCACATGGGACAGAGTCCTGCCCCCTCTCCGCGGAGAAACGGCCTGCCTATGCAGGCTCCTCTGGAAAATTTGCTAACAACACAGGGCCACCCCTCTCCCCTAAAGTCCGAACGAAATCCAACACCGAGGAGGGGGATGCGAAACCATGCAACTGGGCGACCAAACGATCGCCGAGGATCGGCGCGTTGGTGCCGCACTTGACCTCACTGGTCGCAGGAGCAACTGTTTGAAACTCTCCACCTCCTGCCTCCTGCCGCCCCGCGCCTCCAGCGAGGGAGGGGAAGCGGCCCGTCCAGGCCTCGACGTCGTCACCTGACGGGCCGCGGACGTCCACGATCCTCGCCTTCAGGCGACCTGGCATCAGACCTCGACGGATGAAAGAACGCTGAGCCCGCAGGCCTGGCGCATCTCTGCCACGGCACACCCCCTCCAGCCCCTCACGCGACCGAACAATCTTGTGCACCGAGGACCGCCGACTTTACAAAACAAAACGCCGGGCTCTGGGGCCGCTCCCGAATCCAGGGGCACCACCGACGCTTTGACAACTGAGTGTGAGTTGAGCGCCCAAGGCAACACAACACAATCTTGGAGATCTGTACCTCGGCCGAGGCAGCAACAGCAGCAGCAGCAGCAGCAGCAGGAGAGGCCAGGTGAGGGGGCGGCGGCGGACGGGGCGGCAGGAGCGAGGGAGATGTGGCAGCCCCCCCGCAGGGACCACCCCAGGGACCCCCTCGACGGGCAAAACGCCCTCCTCCTTGGCCGCTTCGGCCAGCTCTCCACAGACATCCGAATTGAACTCGAAGCTGAGATCCAAGGTCCCGACAACTTCCTCATAGTCGACAAAACCCCATCAACGAACAATTGTTGGGACCTCGCATGCCACCTCGCGACATCGTGGGCCATGGCCTCGACCCCTGTACATCGACGGCATGCTGAGGGGGGGCCGGCCACCTTAAAGCACCTTTTCTCGCCCAGCGGTCAGCAACCTGATTGCCAAGGATTCGCCAAACATCCTCGAAATTGGTGGCGGACAAGCGAGAGCGATGAGACTTCCCTTTCACGACTGACGCATAGTGGCCGATCCCCTCCCACTGTCGGGCCCAGAAGTGCCCTCTACTGTTCATGGGGTAGAGGGCCACGCCTGGATTCGTTGCGCACTCGATGGGGCCAGCACAGTACGAATACATAGTTAGCGGGTCTTCGGGGTTCCATTCCGAATGCTCAGCAAGGACCTGAAAATCTCTATCCTCGCCGTCACGCGCGACCTGATTGGGCGCATAGCTGAGCGGGAACATCCCGAACGCTCCTGCAACAAGACTGCCATTGCCGTCAATCTGAATGATAGGCCAGCCAGCCCTGGAACGCCCAGAGAAGCGGGAGTACACGGCACCCCCGTCCACAAACATTTTGCCAGAGAGTTTCCAGCCCTCAGGAACCTGAATCCAGATGAGCTGCTCTTCCAGCCTAGCCTCAGGAATCGGACACCACCGAGCTGGAGACGGAACGAGGCACCTGGCGAACCTATCCACAAGCTGTGGGGACAGAGAGTTTTTTTTTAGCTGCTTGCCGCACATGTGGTGGACATTCGCCCCGTCGGTGCACCTCGATGCAAGGGTACTCATAAGAACGATGGACGAGCGTGCCAGGCCCTCCGCAGACCAGACGGGCCTTGCCGTGCCTGTGGAGCCCGTCCTGGGGCCAATGCGACCCGCCCATCAGACACCAGACTGTCCAGGGTCCAAGTCTCGGAGTCGCTCCTGGAGAGCAGGTGCCAGAGAGGGCCCCAGGGAAGAGCCCCCCGCAACCCTCCTTCGATCTTGCCTAATGCGAGCGCGTCCGCGGCGATCACTGCAGCCTCACGCGCTCTGTCAGCAAGAAAGCCAGGCGTGAATTCAAGCATCGAGTATTCAATACCCTGAAAGAGAATAGAAACCGCAGTCGGTATCACGATGCCCACTCGCGCCATGCAAAGCACCACAGCTTGCCCAGGGTCAATGCGATGAGCCCAAGGCCTGGCTTTGCCTAGGAGGTCCCTTCCCGCTTGCCACACAGCGTGCATGGGGTCACGCCCAGGCAACTCAGACAGGGCCGAGCAAGACCAGGAGGAGGAGCGGGAGGAGGATGAGGAGGATGAGGAGGAGGATCAGGAGGAGGGTCAGGAAGAGGAGGAGGAGGAGGACGAGGAGGAGGAGGAGGAGGAGGAGGAGGAGGAGGAGAAGGGAGGATGCGGCGGGAGGAGGAGGAGGATGAGCAGGATGATGCTCATGATGATGCTGTTGATGAGGCTGCTGATGAAGATGATGCTGATGATGATGCTGATGATGCTGCTGATGATGATGATGATGACGATGCTGATTGTGATGATGTTGGTGCTGGTGCTGCTGCTGACGACAGTGACGATGATGTTGGTGATGCTGATGACGATGATGATGATGGCGATGATGATGGTGATGCCGATGCTGCCGATGCTGCTGCTGAAGATGCTGATGATACCGATGCTGATCATTATGATGATGATCATGATGCTGGTGCTGATGATGATGACGATGATGCTGCTGCTGATGCTACTGATGATGGTGCTGATGTTAATGATGCTGATTATGACTATGACGATGTTGATGATGATGCTGCTCATGCTGATGCTGCTGATCATGCCGATGCTGCTCATGCTGATGTTGATGATGCTCATGATGATGTTGATGGTTTTGTTGACGATGATGCTGCTGATGCTGATGCATATGCTGACGATGATGATGATTCTTCTGACGCTGGTGATTCTTATAATGCTGCGGATGGGAGGGATGACGACGATGACGATGACGATGATGATGCTGATGATGCTGATGCTGATGATGTTGGTGCTGATGATGCTGATGATGCTGATGTGCTTGTGGTGCTGCTGCTGATGACGGTGATGCTGATGATGCTGCTGATGATGATACTGATGATGCTGATGAAGATGCAGACGATGATGATGCTGATGCGATGCTCATGGTGATGCTGACGACGATGATGATGATGGTCATAAGGATGCTGCTGATGATACTGATGCTGATGATGATGGTGGTGCTGCTGCTGATGATGATGATTATGATGCTGATTATGATGCTGCTGCTGATGATCAGGATGATGATGCTGCTGATGATACGGATGATGGTGCTGCTGTTGATGATGCTGATTATGAGTATGACGATGCTGATGATGCTGACGATGATTATGGTGATGATGCTGCTGATCATGCCGATGCTGCTCATGATGCTGTTGATGATGCTCATGCTGATGATGTTGATGATTCTGTTGACGATGATGCTGATGCTGATGAAAAAGCTGACGATGATGATGATTCTTCTGACGCTGATGATGCTTATAATGCTGCGGATGAGAGGGATGACGACGATGACGATGACGATGATGATGTTGATGATGATGATGATGATGCTGATGATGCTGATGATGATGCTGGTGCTGATGATGCTGATGGTGCTGCTGATGATGCTGCTGCTGATGACGGTGATGCTGATGATGATGCTGCTGATGATGCTGATGATGATGATGGTGATGATGGTGGTGAAGATGCTAGCGATGATGATGATCATGATGCTGATGCTGATGATGGTGATGATGACGATGATGATGATGATGATGATGATGATGATGATGATGATGATGATGATGATGATGATGATGATGATGATGATGATGATGATGATGATGATGATGCTGATGATGATGATGATGATGATGATGATGATGATGATGATGATGATGATGATGATGATGCTGATGATGATG